ACGAAACGGTATTCTCAGGGGCGTCCTCCACATGATTGAGGAAGAGCTGAACAGACACAACATCCCTGTTGTATTCACTAGGGCATTGGCTGAAGGCATCTTCGTTACCAACGCCTTCACGTTTTACAACGGAGTATCGCCATACCAAGCACACACTGGACGTAAGCCCTCCTTTCTTCCTGACCTCGACACCCTTGACTTTCCCAAGGGGCCCGAGACATCAGGCCACGAACGGGAACGTCGTGTGAGGGAAGTTAGCCTAGAAGCAATAACTCAAGCCACGGCTGTGGCCAAGACAAATCGTGCTCTCAGGGCTAAAACGGCTCCAGATGGTGCTCGCCTTTACTCAGCAGGGGATCTGGTCGACTACCATCGACCCACTGCCACTAAGAGCGATCATGGAGGCTGGAACGGCCCATTCCCTGTGGTCCGTAACATTCCTGAAAGAGGACATGTTGCTGTCAAGGCAGGATCACGGGAGGTAATTGTGATGTATCCTGATGCTCGTCACACGCTATACATTGAATGTCTCCTCGCACGGGAACTTGGCATGGATAATATGGCCATGCAAACAGTCCTTACGTATGTGGCGCACCTCGGCGCAGGGAAACCTGCCAAAGTCTTTGGCTACATCCCAGATTACAAGGGAAGCCTCAATCTTCCAGACGACAGCAAGTTTCACCCGCGCGTACATCTTGCACTACAGTATCTCGTGCGAAATTATTTCCGAGTAGAACACGTAGTAGCAGTTAGATTGGCCAAAAGTGTGTCAAGTCTACCTGCAGTAAAGTACGCCACCGGGTCTACGCTGATCCACTACGACAATGATGTCAGCCCAGCCTTCCACTGTTATGAGTGTGTGGGCACTGGCCTGAACATTTCTCGAATCACTGGCAGCACTCATTCCAGACTTATTCAATGCTTGACCTCACATGTTCCTTCCTTAGGATTTCACGACGACCTGGCCAAGTATCAGCACCCGGGCACCACGTCTGGAGAACACGATTCGCCTGGAAGCAGGCCTCCACCAGACACCCCAGGTGCTTCATCACCAAGTGAAGGCCGTCTGTCGACAATCTATGAATATAACGAGGAACATAAGATCGAGGCCATGATGCTGGAAGAGTGGTACGACGAGTTACGTATGGACCGTCATCCCACGACGACTACCGACGATTATCTCTACTGCGTCCCAACCACCATGCTGCCCGACCAATGTGTTTTGGTTTCAGCATCTGTGGACGAAGAAGATATCGTATTGTCGGAAACGCTCGGAGACGAGCCTGAGCCACAAGAGCCCTGTCTAGTCTCTCTATGCTCAACCACACCTGACGAGGGCTACTCTCTTGACAGTGATGAATATGGTCCCTATGTTGAGTTATGTTTTACATCAGAAATGTCAAAGGTAGTGTTGGATCAGACTCAACTTGCACAGCTCGACGCTGATATGGTCGCAACGATGAGAGTATATGTATCATCTGCTGCTAAACGTGCTGTGGTAGTTAAGGAAGACGACCTACTCACCAAAGCCGACATAGCAGCACATCCGAAAGAGGTTAGTGAAGCTTTGTACACTGAACTCAATATCTGGCTTGATAACCCGTGCTTTGAGATGTATGATTTATCCAAAGCCTCCAACATCATGACATCCAGATATGTATAGAAGTGGAAATTTGTGAAGGTAGGTACCGAGAATGTTAAAACCATCCGTCTCAGACTTGTCCTTCGTGGATTTATGGACACTGAGGCTTTCGATGTGGAAACCTTCTCGGGAACCGCTCGAAGGCAGCCCCAGAGACTCCTGGCAAGTGAGGCGGCATGCCATCCAGAGTGGATCTGAGCATCCATGGATATCGACAAAGCGTTTCTCAAGGGTTTGACCTATGAGGAACTTGCCCATGCCACCGGCGAGGAAACTCGCATGGTTTGCTTCACCCTTCCACCGGGAAGTGCCCAGGTACTTCGTACACTGCCCGGCTTTTCATCTTATGACGAAAGGCGACGCTGCCTCAGGTGCCTCAAGCCAGGAACGGGTACAAAGGACGCCCCAAGAGCGTTCTCTCTCAAGCTTCGTACGACCACACGAGCTATAGGCCTTGCACCAACAAGTTATGATCCTGAGTTTGAATTCAGCCAAGATTTGTCAACGACAAAACATGTCGATGATATCAATATGACAGGCCTAGAGAAAAATATAGACGACTATGTACAACGTGTCGAAAAGGTGTTTGGCAAATGCAAGCTTAACAAACACTCATATACGAATTGTGCCATTCGCTACGCTAAGAATGACCAAGGGGATGTGATCATGGATCAGGACGCGCATATCAAACAACTACGTCCTATCACACACCCAGAACTTACAGGGGCGGCGGCCGATGCCAAAGCCACCAAACTCATCACCGACATGTTCGTCAGCTTGCGAGGAGCCCTCGCCTATTCCCTTCTTACTCAAGTCTGGCTCATGGTATACGTGGTCTCTCTCCAGAAAATCCAAGAGCCCACCAACCTACAAGTCAGACGACTGAATGCTGTGACGCGAAAGCTGATCAGCAGCCCGAAACGCATCACCTTCCCTCGGATGAAGCCGACGAATGAAGTTGACATACACAGCGATTCAGGATATCGGAAGCCCACCGGGGAGGAGGACGATGAGACCAAGGACTATGGCATACGCGGGGCCAACGTACTACGGCGAGGAAACTCGCCTCAAGGCAAATCCGTCGTTCACCTCTGTGACGGACTATGCAAATCACACCGACTGCAGGTGAGGTCCAGCTATGCCGCGGAGGCACTCGCAGCTGCACATAACCTTGATGAGTGTTACCCTACTCTCATCACTCTCCACGAGCTCAAGGCAGGGGCTCTGACTCCACGACAACTACGAGATATGCGTGAAGTTGGGGGCCTAGCCATTAAAGTATCTCTTACCATAGACGCTGAGTCGGTTTATAAATCGCTATCAAGCAAGGATCTTAAGATACCGACAGAAAGGACCTTGCTTGGACACATCAGCTGGACACGTCAGCTCATGGATACAGGTATAGTACATAATGTGCAGTGGTGTGATACTAGAGATATGACCGCAGATGGGCATACCAAGGGGAGCATCGATCGGGAGCTGCTTTTGGAAGTGATGTCAGGCACTCAGTCATTTAAGTATGACGTGAAGCAGTTTGTTCCTTTTCGGGGCCCCGAGGACAGAAACAAGCCTAAGTCTAATCAATTTTAGTCTGTCCTTGTTGCCCCCGCGGTCCAATTTGCCAGCATGGGCGCCTACTACAGAGGCGCCCTTCCAGGTGCTCGGAAACGAGCCTTACATTTCACGCCTGGCAACGAGCCGGCTTCATGAGATTCAGGCTCTTTGCCTTAATACCCGTTTGCTCGGTGAAGTATGGCCCGCTTGGTTTACCTCTAGCCGGGCCGATAGCCCTTTACCATTCAAGGGGCTGTCTTGTATTTGCGTGAAATGCTTTGCGAGGAAACTCGCCTTACAGTCTGGTGTTAGGCCAGTCTGTACGCACTGTTTTCTTGCAAACAGTTGCGCGCGCGGCCTTTGTAGAGCCTAACGGCTGCGCGGCTATACTCTCCGTCTCCTCCCCTCCCGACTTTAAGGGTAGCTCTTTGGGAGATGTTATATATAATCGGGAGTATAGCTCGCGCGCCGTTGCCTTTGGCTCAAGGCACGCGCGCCCTATGTGCCCGGATACCTGACTAGGTATTCGCTATGTGCTGGAAAGACCGATACATCGATCTTATCTTATCTTACCCATCCACTCCCCATATCGTATTCCTTCGACATGGAATTGGATGCAATGTGACCTACCAGGTTCACTTTCGACTAGAGGGAAGTATTACAGCTATCGACGATGCCTTCGGCGAGTCAACGCCTCCGCACTTTGGGGCGTACTAGAGCTCCCTTGTGCCGTCTTGGGGTTCATTGGAGCAGTCTTGAATCCGCGTGGGCCGTCTTGGGGCTTTCTGAGGCCGTCCTGGACTCGTCCAGAGGCCCTCTTCAGGCAGTTTCGGGGACATCTGTAGGACATCGCGGGGCCTTCGTGGGACATTCTTGGTAATTTTAGGGACGCTCGGAGGCCCTCCTCGGACCATCTTGAACTACCCTCTGCTGATTTGACCGTCTTGGAGTCCTGTTGGGGCTCTCTTGGGCGTCTCGGGCCATCTTCCAGGCTCCGTGGGTCCCTTCTCAAGGTTGTCTGGGGCCTCTTGGGCTAGTTTGGCGCCGTCTAGAGGTCTGGGGCAGTCTCGGGACAGTCCAGGGCTGCGTTGGGCGCCGATCGGGCCATCACTGCGGCTTGGGCGTTTGGAGCTTGATGATGAGGGATGGCCTGTGGCGGGGGCGGCGACCAACCGAGCGATGTTCCATGGCTCAGCACGCCCAGCACCCCGGCCGACACAGGGACGGCGGATCGATGCGAGTATCCGCCGCCCGCTGCTGCCGAAACGCGGTCCACCTAATGGGGGCATCCTGAACTGCACGCTGATGCCCTTGGAGGCCTCGTGCCCCTCTTGGCCTTCTCGCCGACCTCCCGCTCGGGCCGTCTTCAGGCTCTCGGGGATCTCGCTTAGGCCGCTCTGGAGGTAACTGGGCCACCCACAGCGTTCACGAAGCAGGCTCATTCCCCGCTCATTTGAGGAGCAGGTCTCCCGGATCCGTACGCACGCGCACGGGAAACTTTATGCGTCTTGTGCGGATCCGTCAGGGGCAGTATTCATCGCATTTGGCAATCTGTCAAGCTTCATTCATGTTCGGCTGTATCATTGTTTGATTCGTTTGGCCAGGCGCATCATTGTTTATATCGTACGTTTCTTTGGGCACGTGTTTGTTGTGCGTGCTGCGTTTGGGTTCGTCCAGGCCAGGCGAGAACATCAAGATCAGATCGCGCCCGCCTCAAGCTTCAGAAGTAGTTCTCTGTCGTGCGCACACACATGACACATCGACGCACAGACACTCGGGGAAGCCTCCGCCTCGACCCGCCGAG